TTTGTTAAATATATTAAGTCTCTCAGGAAAGAATTGTGTAGACCTGCAATGTCAGATACTCAGAGGAGATCACAAGTTTAAGTCATTAAGGAATCCTTAAATTCAATCTCTAGTGCTATCAAAGAAAAAAGGACCAAGCATACAATCTCTAGTGCTAGCAAAGAAAAAAGGACCAAGCATACAATCTCTAGTGCTAGCAAAGAAGAAAGGACCAAGCATACAATCTCTAGTGCTAGCAAAGAAAAAAGAGTCAAGCATACCATGACGTTTTTATCCTGAGTAAGATTGTAGGAGTGAGGAAATGAAGTTGGGACCGGGAAAGAAGTCTTAATGAACTGAGACATAAATGGGGCCCCTGAAGAATGGAAGACTAGAAAGATGGCACTGGGCATGAACATGGGAGGATGGCCATGTGGAAACAGGAATAGTGGAAACAGAGCCCTAAAGATGGACTTGGACTCACCCAACAGAGAGTTCCAGGTAGCTTCTCTGTGGGAGAAAAGCATTAATTAAGCCCAAGACATAAAGGCTTTGAAATGTCAGCCTAAGAATTATGATTTACTCAATAAAGATTCACAGGTCTTTCTTAGTTATTGGGGTAATTTAATCAGAATGATGCTTTTGTGGCTCCATCCATGTAAGTAGGACTCATTGACACACATCTTGGTGTGTCAGGAAACAGAACACAGGTCAGAACCTGGGATGCATATAACCTTAAGGGCCATCCTAGTGACCAACTTCTGTCACCCAGGCCCTACCTTCAGAACACTCTATGGCCTTCAGAATAATGCCACAGTCTAAGCACCAAAGGTTCAAAATAAAAGCCTGTGGGAGACATTGCGAAGTCAATTATAACAATCATATTTTGCTGAGCAATTATAATTGGAAGTCAAATTCTTTGGTTTCTTCATTCTCGAGAAATTACAGTGCATCTTCTCTTCTGCACGTTGAGCATTTTGAGTCAAATGAAAGCTGTCATGTTTTGTTTGTTTGTTTTGTTGGTTGGTTGGTTGGTTGGTTGGTTGGTTGGTTGGTTGGTTGGTTGGTTGGTTGGTTAGTTGGCAATTTGGTTGGTCTGGTTGTTTTGAAATAGGTCTCATTATTAAATAGCCCAGGTTGGTCTCAAACTTAGGATCCTGCCTCAGCCTCCTGAGTCCTGGGAATAAAGACAAGTGCAACCATGTCTAACTAGGCTACAGTTTTTGTTATTATTGTTGTTGTTTCTTTTTTATTTTTTCTCACTCTTCTTTAGCAATGAGAATGTTCAACAAGTGTAACAATGAAATATTGTCCATTTTTAAGTTAAAAAATATGCTTAAGTGCTAGAGGGTTGAATCAGTGTTTGTTGTGCAAATATGAGGACCTGCATTTAGACCCCAAGCACCTAGGTAGCAAGTCCAAGCATCATGTATGTGTTTGCAATTTCAGTGCTGGGGAGACACACTAAGGAAGATTCTAGGGGCTTGTTTGACCAGCCAATTTAGCAAAATTGATGAGCTCTCAGTTCAATGAGAGATCCTATCTCAAAAAAATAGGGAAACAAGTAATTGAAGAAGACAACCAACATCAACTTCTTGCCTGCACACACACACACACACACACACACACACACACACACACACACACACACACGCACACTGGGGGGTTGGCGGGGATCATGTCATTCCAGCCATTGAGCTCATGAGAACATCTATCTATGACAAATACTGGGAAGTTTCCTTTACTGCCCACTTTCTCTACAACTCTACCACCCCATTTGAACTTCATATATCTTTACAAGTAAGAGAATTTCATGAGCTAAGCACCAGGATTTTCATTTCCTGTGGCCTAGACTCACATCTACTGCCAATTATATCTGATTCCGTACAGCATCAAATCTATTAGCCAAAAATAAATTTGATCACGCCCAGCATTCTAAGCATTGAGCTTAGAAGAGTGAAGATCCTTCAGAAATTTCGAGTATCTGTAATGATAGTATTTTTCACCTTCGATAGCAAAAGCAGGGAAGATTGCCTGGGTGAACTGCTATCTATCATGATAAGTGTTAAAACAAGATTATTGTATCAGAGGGCAGTAAGTACTGTATGGGAGATGTATGTAGGGTTTTATGAGGACATGCTAGCAAGGCGCAGACACAGGTCACATAATTCAACCAATATGTGCCTCTAGAAGACTGTTTATCCGCTCCTCCTGACCTATTTGGTACAAATCAATAAAGAGGAAACAGACCATTAGAAAACATATCAGGGTTTTAATACTAATAACTAACATTGATTGAGAGTTTACTGGGTGCCAATCCCATTCTAAGCACCTTTCATGTGTTTGCCCATTTAATTCCCACAGCCCTTTGAGAGTGCTAATGGTAGCAACAGTGCTTTCAAAGGAGCAAATAGGCTTAGAGGGGTGATATAACTCCAGCAGCCGGGCTCCAGAGAGCGTCCATCTTCTGCCTGTGACAGGTGCTGGAAAGTTAGGGGTGCACTTCCTCCACAGCTGTCTGAGCTCAGTTTGAACGTCAGATGTCTTTGCAGGTAAAAGAAATGCACAAGCAGAAATAATGTGCACTGTTACTTTTAAGAAGTAACGTCTTTGGCAAAAAAGCATTGGATATCCACTATAGATGAGATGGGGGGCAGTGGACAGGCTTTTAACCCCCAGTATTTGGAGGCAGAGGCAGGACATTCTCTAGGTTCTAGGCCAACCAGTTTTGCAGAGGGAGTTCCAGGTAAGTTGGGGCTATATAGCAAGCATCCTGACCCATCTGTCATCTTCCATACACACGTGTTGTGACTTGTAGGACTGTCGTAGGTGGTGAGGAAAGGTGAAGTTGATTGTTTACAGTTCACCAAACAAAACGTGGCAGCCCCAGTTATCAGACACCATGTGCCACATGGACATTTGTTTGTAGACAAGACACTTCTCTTTCTAGCTTAATATCCAAGAAAATTTCTCCTCTTCTCTCCATGAGTTCTGAGCCCCTAAAAGGAACCCACAAAACTTCTCTATGTTAATGTCATCCCCCCAGTGTTGATCATAGATCTTCTTTATTCTCGACATAAATGTCCATGCGATGCCTGTTCTATTTTCTAGATGTCAACACGTATGTCTTATCATGCCACTGTGGCCAGACCCTTGGAAAAGGAACCCTTCACTAGTTTGGAAAACAGACACTAGCATTGAGTAAACTGTCAAAATGCTCTGGGTAAGGACGTAGAATAAATAAATCTGGAGAAACACACCCAAATGTGCATCGCTTATTAAATCAGAAATCTCTGCTACCAACACTAGACCTCCAGGAGAAGAAAGTTTCACTGAATTTCCCTCCACCTGGTAACATAAGCCCTGGCAAACCTAGAGATTCCCATCTATTCCTAAGACAGATTCAGGTCAAATTGCTGCTGCCCAGTTAGGAGCCTAACCTGGAAATAGCCTATGATGAATCACCAAAGGTCATTGTGGTAGTAACTTGGGCTCGAGGAGTCAAGGATCCCTCCAGACTCAAGTCAAAATCGCCTTCTTATCTTTACTATGAACGAGAACATGAAGAGAGGAAGGAAGGATGCTGCTTTGTTACTGATACTAAATGAGAGCTTCAGACCTACGGGAATTTAAGAAGCAGGTGGAAAAAGAAAAGATAGAGATGGGAAGACAGGCTCAGTAGATGAAGCACTTGCCTGACATGTGCAAAGACAGGAGCTCAAATCGCCAGCATCTGCACAGATACTAGGCAAGTGTGGCAATAGCCTGCAATCCTAACACCCAAGATGCAGGGGTAGGGGTTCTGGGACAAGCCAGTTAGCTAGAACTGCAGGAATTCACACGCTCTGGGTTGAGCCAGAGACCCTCCATCACCAAATAAAGTGGTGAGTGACCAAGAAAGGCACCCATTTCAACTCTAAGCCGCCACGTGCACACGCTCACACAAGTACATGTACCCACACATACCCACATATATGCTCATCACTCACACACATACATGCAGGAAAACATAAAGGAAAAGGTGTTTAGTTGGCAGAGCAAGTAGAGATGGAGCTAGCTGCAGGTGAAGATTCAGGCTTCGGGTGTCAATGAGATGGCTCAGCAGTAAAGAGCACACGCTGCTCTTGCGGAGGACCAGAGGTGGGTTCTCAGCATCACACAGGACGGCTCATAGCTGCCTGTATCACCAACTCCAGTGTTCAGTTCTGGCTTCTGGCTTCCTCGGCTATGTGCGTGCATTCATACATACACACAGATGCACAAGTACATAAAACCATAAATCTTTTAAAATAAAATTGTAAAAAAGAATCATACTAACTCTTGAAATCTGTAGCCAACACTGTGGTGATTTCCATGTAAAGCTCTGAGGAAACATATTAGGAACCCTGGCCTTTACGAGGTCCTTTGCCTTTAGGGTGAGGCACAACCAGAAAATGGTCAATGGCTTGGAGGTTTTTAAAGTGGTTTGTAACATTTAGTAGCTTCATTGCTTGTGTCTGTATGAGCGTGTGTTTGTCTCTGACAAGAGCAACCCAAATTGAAAATATCCAAAGTAAATACGGATCAGCTGCTAGCTGCTGAGAGCCAATTCCATGACACACAGAAATAGACTACGTAAGAATGTTGTGGTGTCATATTTACTGGCGTGACTAAAATAGGCTCGGTCTTCACAAACCCGTTTTCTGCTTTCTGTGTTTTGGACACCTACTTGAAGAAACAAAAAGTTGGAAAATGTTTGCCTTACTGTGCAGCTATCGAGCGTGACTGAGCAGAATTAACCCTTAGTTCTCACTATCGAGGTTAGCCACAGGCTTTCCAAAGATCTCTGCAAGCCAGTCTCTAGTTAAGGACCCAGCAATGTGTTTCTCAGAGGAGGAAATGAACGCATGTGTTCAGATGGATAGCAGGCCCATTGGGAGTGCTGGCTATTCGTGATAAGGAACTAAGTAGAGATGGAATACTAAAAACAATTTGTCTTAGGGACCTGTAAATACAGCCTCTGTCTTCTGTCACTTTTCTAGGGAACAACCATGTCACCATTCCTTCGAATTGGTTTATCCAACTTTGACTGTGGTACCTGCCAGGCTTGTCAGGGTGAGGCCGTGAACCCCTACTGCGCTGTGCTTGTCAAAGAGTATGTGGAATCAGGTAAGTTAATTGGGGTCAGGGTGGGGGAGGGAAAATAGGGGTTGGTGGCTAGGCTAGACAAGTATGTGGGAGACAAGACCTTCCTTGTTCTTCCAGGACATCTGATGGAACTGAATTTCACAGTTTAGGATGTTGGTACCCAGCAAAGACTAAAGACTTTATTAAGGACCCAGGTTTAGTGATGGATTCTGACCAGATCTATTTTGCTGTGTTATTTTTCCCACATAAACAGAGATAAAGAAAGTACCAAGTTGGGGAAATTAGACAAGGGGCTAATGGAGAAGAAATCTAGTAAAGTGGAGTAGACTATGTATTACCTGTGCTAACAACTCCTTATTTTCAATGACTCCAGATGAAGCCTGTCAAATCCTAGATCTTGGGATTAACTCTAAAGACTGCTTGTGTAAGAGCCTTCTCTGAGAAAGTTAGGAAGGAGTCAGCTAGAATTCTACATGAATAAAAGAATATTTCTGTTTTATTAACTGTGACTATGTACAGGCAGTTCATGAGGAGGAGGAAATTGGAGTCATGTCCCTAAGATTGATTTTGTGAGTTTAGACAGCTCTGTCAAAACAATCCCATTGGGTAAAGAATCCCTTGGTGATTATGCCCTCTGATTCCCGCTTGATCTACACCTCTTCATTTTAGTATTCTTAAGTCTCTTCCAAAGGAAAGGAAGGAAGCTATTTATCCCAAGACCTTCCCAGCCTTCCTGCCTTGTTCTGTATTCCTGAATGCAGAAGGAGAGTTATGTAGGATGTATTTCCATTCATTTACACACACACACACACTAATGGAGAGTCACTGTGAGAGCCTTGGGGACAGAGCAGACAGGAAAACACTCCCTGTCTACAAAGAGGACCCTCCCTTCAGACTTTGCAGTCTCACAGAGGAAGGCAGGTGATAAGCAGTTAAGGTGTGATGACCAGCAACGGGGGCTGAGAAGATAAAGCCGGGCAAGAGGAGAAAGGGGCAGAGAAGTGAACATTATTCTCAATGGAGTGGCCCTAAAATGGTCTCTGTCAAAGGCCGGGAACATCTGTGGATGTGAGAAGGAACTGAGGCATGCACTGAGAGCCTCTCACTGGATGCTGAAAATGCCGAATTCTGGGATTCCAAATTTTATTACGTTGTGTCCCCCATCCCCACTTCCCTTCATGCTCCCTTCCTCGCACTAGTGCCTCAAAGCCTAGGAGACAGTCTGGATGCTCTTGATTTCTCTTCCACCCAGACTCCTCCACTGTCTTAAAAGTGAAAATGCCGCTTGCTTCCACCTAAACTCTTGCAAATGTCACAGACATCTTTGAAGTGTAAAATGGCTGTGTATTTTCAAAGCTGCTTTTGACTTCATGGGTCTTGTAGATCTGGCTCTCTTTCCAGCCTCAGGTCTCACTGACATTTGCCAACTGCCAATCTTTCTTTTTCTTTTCTTTTCTTTTTTTCCCTTTCCTCTTCTTTGGGCCTGCTTTTGAACTTGATCTCAGCCAAATGGACCACGAGACCCTGTCAGAAAAAAAAGAAAGAAACAAAACTGTTTTTCCAACAAATTAGTCAGTGGGATTAGGATATTTATTTTTTATTTTTGTTCAGGTTATGGTCTGAAAAGGAATCTAACTAAGATTCCTCTTCCAGAATTTAAACAGGTTGCCATATTTAGAGTGTGAGGTTGCAGTTTTCATGATGAGTCAGGGGAATGGGAACAAACAGGAAGTGGTGCCGTCAGCCTGGGACCCTTTGGAAACATCAGCCCTTGCTGGACACACATAGACAGGCATGCTGGTTAATTTTAACTGTCAATTTGAAAGTCTAGAATCAGCTGGGAAGAACACCTTAATTAGGGATTACCTAGGTTATGTTGACCTGTGTGCAGTCTTTGAGGAATTATCTTGACTGTTAATTGACGTAGGAAGACCCAGTCCATTTGGGTGGCACTATTCCCTAGACAGGGATCCACGAACAGTATAAGAGAGGGGAAATCTAGTCAAAAACAAGCAATCAAACAAGTAGGCTTGCAAGAATGCATTTATCTCTGCTCTTGATGTGCTTTGACTAATTGCTTGAATTCCCTCTTAGTGATAGACTATAGCCTGGGATTTAACCCAAATAAGCCCTTTCTCCCCTAAGTTGCTTTCTGTCAGGGTATTTTATCACAGCAACAGAGATGAAACTAGAACAACAGGATTCTGAGTTCTGGTCTATGTTTTAGGTCATTCTTAACCTAGTGCCTGACTCCTGGATGACTGCCCTTCTCTGAGCATGGAGAATGGTTATAGGGAAAAGGAATAATTTAATAGGGAAGCTTAGAGAATATGATAAATAATATCATCGTTGATTTTCAAAGAACCCAATCTATCATTGTTTTTTTAACCTAACCCCTCCTTTTACAGAAACTCATGAGTTCCCAACCCCAAACTGGAGAGCCGTTGCCAGTTGGTGGTTTCTGAGGTAGAGTGAGTCAGGTTTCTTTAAAAGTGTAACTCCTGGTCTGTTGGCCAGGCCCCATTGGGTGTCTCCACACCAATGTATGTGGAGAATACAGAAAATTGAACTCGCTGGAGGATAAAGGAGGAGGAGAAGGAGGAGGAGGAGGAGGAGGAGGAGGAGGAAGAGGATAAGGAGGAAGAGGAGGAGGAGGAAGGAAGGAAGGAAGGAAGGAAGGAAGGAAGGAAGGAAGGAAGGAAGGAAGAAGAGGAGAAGGAGGAGGAAAAGAAAGAGACTCAGTGTTGAGGAAACTATGTTGGGAGGAGGGTGTGGAGGGTGGATCAGAGGTGAATCTGGAAGGAATTACAAAGGTGGAAACTATCATAATACATTGTATTCTCGTATGAATGTTTCAAAGACTTAATGAAAATGTACAACATTTTAATCACCCTCTTCCTATTCAGTCCTTCACAGAGTCACAGTTTATACCGCTACTGGCCATGTTTCCCTAAAGTTTGAAATTACTGGTAAAAGCCCACTCTATTTAGCCTCCTGTGTTGTAAAAGATTGTCAAAATAACTTCATATTCCTACTTCAAGCAGATTTGTTTTTCTTTTACACCACCAATGTCCCTGAATTGCTAAAGATGACATTCACTAGGCTTATTCTCAGAAGACGCAGTCAAATACTACTGCAGTCCTCTGCTACTGGAAATGATCGGAGACTGTAAACCAGAGAAGATCTCTTGTGGGTAGATCTAACAAAATGACTTAATTCCATTTGCAAACTGCCAGGGAGCTTCTGGGAAAGATTCTTGTAAAGAACTCAAACTTGTCACAGCTCTTGTTCCTGTGACCAGGTCCTTTACTTTCCTGCCTGTCTTCACATGTGCATCTGCTGTTGGATTGGCTGGTCCATTTTCAGCCCTTGCCAGCCTTTGCTTAGGGAGCATCGGTACTGTAAGCTACATCTTCAAAGATTGGAGAAGGAGGCATGTGCTTGTGATCATAGCACTTGAGAGGCTAATGTGGGAAGATAGAGAACTCAAGACCAACATGGGCTACACAGTGAATTTGAGACCAACCTGGGCTATCTAGTGACATACTATCTAAAAGAAATGGGGGGCGGGGAGAAGGAAGTAAGGACTCATTTGCTTCAAAGGCTGTTGTTTCCGTGTGTTTATGGCAAATAAAAATTATTTTTTAAAAAAATATTAAAGGATCATTCCTTATAAGTTCAACTTATGCTGCTGTGCCTTTCATATAAATACAGCAGCTTTATGGGGGTCCATTTCTACCAGATGCCAGTGGAATTAATAGAACCAAGCTATTATAAGAAAGGAAGGTTTTAAAAGGCGTAGGTTGGGGATTTCTTTTCTTGGTTGATGTGTTGAGAGGAGCTATGTGAGTGTGGTTGTGTTTCTTGGCTTTGTGTGTGTGTGTGTGTGTGTGTGTGTGTGTGTGTGTGTGTGTGTGTGGTTTTCTGAGATGTGGTCTTGCCACAAAGCACAAACTGACTGTGAACCCTCCATCCTCCTATAACATGTGTTGGTGTTATAGGTGTTCACCACCATGCCTAGTAGCAAGGGGCTGTTTTAAAGGTTATTTTCTCAGATGCTCACTCTCAAAGTGGAGAGAGGAAAAAAAAACCATTGACTGGGGAAGGAAATTTTCCAGTTTAAGTAATTTTAAGAGGGTTGGTACTTAAACTATCTATATCGTACTTATAAAAGGCAATGTGTTAACTTGCATCTAACCATGTACCTGTCTTATTCTGCCCTAGACTGTATCAGAATTATGTACATGACAGCAATAGAAATGGCGGCCACTATTAAATGGAATTGAATTATTCTCCGGAGTTTGTAGAAGAGTAATTAAAGAGACAATATTTTTTCTCTCCCTAGAAAATGGGCAGATGTACATTCAGAAAAAGCCGACCATGTACCCACCCTGGGACAGCACCTTTGATGCCCACATTAACAAGGGAAGGGTGATGCAGATCATTGTGAAGGGCAAAAATGTGGACCTCATATCGGAAACAACTGTGGAACTCTACTCCTTGGCGGAGAGATGCCGAAAGAATAACGGAAGGACAGAAATATGGGTAAATGTCAGAGCTGTGTATGGTACGAACGGTGTGCACCCAAGCCTTGAACTTCTGACCCTCTTCTCCCCACCTCTCAAGTGCTGGGTTTAGAGGTGTGTGCCACCATACACAGCCAGTATGCACCAGGATGCAGGCTGTTGAGTAGCTTGAAATGCCCTGCCATCCTTAAGCAAGAGGACACGAGTCATGGATAAGCAGACAGCCTATCATATACTCCTTGGTGATTTGAAAATTACAGTGACTATTCATGAACTGAAGTGTATTGAAAACCTCAGATCTCTTGGTATGGAGAGGAGGATCTCAGTTATAAATAACAGTTATTGTCTGTTACTCTTAAGGTACTCCTGGAACTAATAGGCTTATCCAGGGATGAGAGTGGGGTATTGAAGTCTCCCACTGTTAGTGTGTGGGGTTTAATGCTATGATTTAAGCTTTAGTAGTGTTTCTTTTGCCCTTGTATTTGGGGCATAGACATTCAGTATTGAGATTTCCTCTTGATGGATTTTTCCTGTGACTAATATGAAATGACCTCCTTTCTCTCTTTTGGTTGATTTTAGTTTGAAGTCTATTTTGTTAGATATTAGGGTAGCTACACCAGCTTGTTTCTTAGGTCAATTTGATTGGAAAATGATTTCCCAACCTTTTACTCTGAGGCAATTCTGTCTTTGAGGTTGAGGTGTGTTTCTTGTATGCAGCAGAAGGATGGATTGATTCTGTTTTCATATCCAATCTGTTAGCTTTTTTATAGGTGAATTGAGTCCATTTATATTAAGGGATATCAATGAGCAGTGATCACTAGTTCCTGTTATTTTAGTTTTTGTTGATGGTGATATTATTGTGTGTGTTGTTCCCTTTAGAATTTGCTGCTGTTAGCTCATCTATTGTCTGTGTTTTTGTGGATGTAGTTAACTTCCTTGGACTGAAGTTTTCCTTCTAGTACTTTGTGTAGGACTGGGTGTAGTACTTTGTTTGTGGCTAAGTATTGGATAAATCTGGTTCTGTCATGGAATATCTTGCTTTGTCCATCTATGGTGACTGAAAGTTTTGCTGGGTATAATAGTCTGGGCCGGTAGTCTCCTAATGTCTGCATAATGCATGACCAGGGCCTTCTGGCTTTCATTATTTCCATTGAAAAGTCAGATATAATTCTTTATATGTTATTTGGCCTTTTTCCTTTGCAGCTCTTAATATTCTTTCTATATTCTATATGTTTTGTGTTTTGATTATTATGTGGTGAGGGTTCTTCTTTTTTGATCCAGTCTGTTTGATGTTTTGATGTTCTGTAAGCTTCTTGTATCTTCATATGCATATTTTTCTTTAGTTGGGAAAGTTTTCTTCTATGATTTTTTGAATATATTTTGAATATATTTTCTATGCTTTTGAGTTGGACTTCTATCCCTATTATTCTTAAGTTTGGTCTTTTCATGTTGTCCTGTATTTTCTGGATATTTTATGTTAAGCTTTTGTTAGAGTTAATGTTTTCTTTGACTGGTGAGTCTATTTCCTTTATTATATCTTCAGTGCTTGAGATTCTCTCTTCCATCTCTTGTAGTCTGCTATTTATGCTCCTGATCATTTTCTCATATTTTCCATTTCCGGAACTTTCTCAGATTGTATTTTCTTTATTGTCTCTCTTTTGGTTTTCAAGTCTTGAATAATTTCTTTCATCTGTTTGATTGCTTTTTCTTGATTTTCTTTAAGAGATTTGTTGATTTCTTCTAATATTTTGTTTTTCTCTTCCTACATTTCTTTGAGAGAATTTTTCTTTTCCTCTTTAAGGGCCTCAAACATTCTCCTAAAGTTATTTTTTAGGTCATTTTCTTCTGCTTCATCTATATTTGAGTGTTCAAGTCTTGCTGTTGTAGGGCCACTAGTTTTTGTTGGTATCATATTGCTCTTTGTGGTGTTCAGTGTGTTCTTACCTTGTCTACCCAGCTTTTCCTCTGATTGGTGTAGTTGGAGCTGTGTCTCTAGTGATCAATCTTCCAGTTGCCAGTGGATCCAAGGCTCAGATGGTTGCTCCTCACAGTTCAGTCAGGGCCATGGCTGCAGTCACCCGGAGGACACTTGATGTTCCAGAGGTTGTTTGGGCCTACTCCTATGGAAGTTGCTTGCTTGAGCCTCCTCTGTAGAGGTCGCTGGCTCAGGCCTGCTCTGGCGGAGGTCACTGGCTCCCTCGGCATTCTCTCCCTTGTACCTGCTCTGGCTGAGGTGGCTACCTCCAGCCTACTCCAGTGGAGGTTGCTGGCTCAAGCCTCTTCTGGCAGATGGAGGTCCCTGGCTTGGACCCACTCCTGCAGAGGTCTCTGGCTTGAACCCACTCCCACGGAGGTCCCTGGCTTGGACCCACTCCTGCAGAGGTCTCTGGCTTGGGCCTTCTCCCTCAGCAGTAGCTCCCTTGTACCGAAAACCATCTTCTATATAGATTGAAAGCCAGAAAACTATTTTCATATGTTTATGTCATTTATGCCAAAGTAGTAAAACTCCTTACCTTTCTACCTGAATAATAATTCAGATTTTAGCAAGACTTCCAAAAGCTTTAAAGTTACAACTTCCACATGGGAATGATGGAAACCTAGAAATGGCGTTCTTGTGTTCTTATGACCTCCCGTTGATTTTGTCTTCTTTTTTTATAATATAATATTTTATTATTTCTTCTTTATTTTAATTGATTTTTATTGAGTTTTACATTTTTCTCTGCTCCCCTGCAGTGATTTTGTCTTCTGAAGAAAAATACATAACTCATCCTTCTGTCACAAAGTTAATATTTAAGCACAACGACATGCCAAGATTTTTTAAGGTGCCCAAGATGACATATGTTTAGGCAATGTCATTCAACAGTACATATAGAACACCTTTCACTCCACTTGGGGAGGAGACTGTGGCAATTCCAACTCCTGTAGACTGGCTGCTTAGACAAACAGAAAAGGTTAAAGAACTGGCGGGTGTTGCAGATGTTTGGTTTGGTGTGAAGGAGTTTATATACTTTAAGCTAATGGAGATGTGGAGCTCTGGCTGTGTCTGAAACACAGGAGACAGAAAAGATAAGTTACAGAAACCCCCACTTCCCCATGCCTGCTGTTTCCATGATTTTCTACTTTCCACCTAATTTATTTTGTTGAAATTAGACCTCTCTCTAATTTTTATGATAACTTACTATGTTTTCTTCTCAATGAAGGAACAGATAATCAGATTTTTTTATCCTTCTTTAATAAAGTACAGACTTCATTCACTAGCAGTTTGACTTTCTATTTCTATCTTTTTGAAGTTGCCTTTAATTTCACACCCTGAGTTTTGCCAATTTCTCTCCTCTTCCTCCTTTTCCATTTTGTTTTGTTCAAACAGAGTCATGTTATGTAGTCCAGGCTAGCCTTGAACTACTAGCAGTTCTCCTGCCTCAGTCTCCCAAGTGTCAGGATTGCAGGCATGCACTAGACACAAGTGTGCACTTGTAAGACTTCGTCTGCGGCCTAGGGCTGTTGGACGTCAGTACATAACAGCATTCACATCCTCATATAGCCAAGTTGCTTGCTTTCTGTATTTTTAAGCCTTAATTTTGGGGGATTATTTCTTGGTTTACTTTCATTTCAAGAGCTCCCAGACTATTTTGAATTTTTGTTTTATCTTTCTTCTGAGGTTATCAGCTGTTTTAAAATTGATTTTTTTTAAAAAAAATTTAGCAACAACAACAACAACAACAACAACGAAGATTTTCTCAAATTTGCCATTCATGCCCATCTTGGCTTTAAACGACACATTGGTTCTCCCTTTGTGTTTCCCATGGTTGCAAGTATCTGCAAGGGTTTTACCAGTCACTCCCCAGGGCTTTATAAAACGTCACTTTCCAATGGCTTGCTGACTTAATTTCCTCCATCACCAGTGCTTTCTGAATATTGATAAGGCCGTGGTGACCAAGGTTCACAGTTTCCTTTGAAAATGGGTCTCAAATTCCCCCTCCTTGTTCTGCTTTTGCCTCCATTTTTACTATACCAGAGATTAGAAAATGATGGTGTTAATTCTTATGGTCTAAAGCACTTCTCTTTACCTTAACCAGTGTAAGTTTGCATGAGAGCTTATAGCTATTCCAAAAGCAGAGCTTTATTACATCACAAAACTCTGAGAGCAGGGGTACTGCCAGTTGTCAGTCTTTCCGAACTCATTGAAGACTTGGTGATTTGCACAAGGTCACACAGCTGAGAAATGGTCCCTCAGTGCTTTGAAATTTAACTCTGGGTTCAACATAACAGTTCCTGCTGTCTCTCCCTTAGGACAGGCGACCGCTGCTATGATGCTCAATAATGAGTCACTTTAAAGTCATGTCTTAATCTATTTATTCCACTAATGGCATAGTATGATGGTTTGACATATATCATATATGTGTAGGTGTGTATATAAACATACATGCATACATATATTCAAATACACATGTATGTAAATATCTACATAGATACAGATATATCTATTTTCCTCCTGTGTATGTTACATTACGTGGTATTCGGAATAAGTCTTAAAATGGCACTTTGCTCTTCTGTCTTCTGTACGATACTGTCCATAAGTTGTATATATACATATAGAACTTGAAAAATTATAATAATGTATAGAATATATAAGTACCATGCATGAACTTTTTCTAAAATATATGTCAGGTAATTTAGTAATTTAAAAACTATTCAAATATGCATATAATATATATATATATAAAACATGCATATAGAAAACTTTCAAGAATCACCTAATTAAATTTTTCTTTAGTCATTTTACAAATGCTTGTGATAGAAAAAGTATACTGCATGGAGTATACCCTGATCTGCCTAGATGTATAGCCCACATAGTAAGTGAAAGAAAACCCCTCAGAGCAGGACTTATCTTTATTCCCTAGGACCTACTTCTTCCCAAGTGAGCAAGGCTTGGCATCCAGGACACTTCTGTCAGTGATTAATATCTGGGGATAAGCTCATATGGTCTTCAGGTAAACACCCTGCAGGACAACAGATTCCGTTTTTTGAATCTTCTTTCTTCTTTCAATTTTGAACCTCCAGTAAAATGAATGAACTGCCAAGTCATTCCATCAAAGGCAAGCCACTGTCTCAGGTGCTGCACAGTTCTGATAATAGCGGGCTCGGTGATGATGAACTTGCGTGGAGAAGAGCCGAGATCTCCTCTCTAGTGGCAATCTGCCATAAGTCATGCAGCTAGTTAAGAGGTCCTAGAGCCAGGGTTGGCTTCCCATTCTGACGATGTTCTTTCTTCTTCTCTCTCCCAGTTAGAGCTGAAACCTCAAGGCCGAATGCTAATGAATGCAAGATACTTTCTGGAAATGAGCGGCAAGTGACATTTCTTCTTCCTGTTTGGGGGTGAGGAGGGTATAGCCTGTTCAGCGAAGGCTCGTTTTGCTTCTGCAATATCCTAGAAAAGAGAAATGCAAAACATTCTATTAAAATTCTCAATGGTGCTCGGGCAGGAATTGAAAACAACTGTTCAGACCAGACAAATGTAGAGCAAACATAAACACATGGGCGTATACATGTGTTTTATGTAAACATAAAACATTCGCGGGGCTGGTCTATAAATGGTGTAAATTCACAAGCCTGGTGCTTTCATAGTCTCTCTATTTCAGTTTGGGAATTTACTCTGAATACAAAAGGCTGCTCCTGCATTGCTGTGTGTAAACACATTGCCTATTTATAAATGGTGTTCTATACCCAGCATTCCACTGGCCTAGAATATGAAATAAGAAACCGAAAATATCTTCTGTAAAGCTAGTATCAAATGCAGCGGCCTAAAGTTAGTCACCTCACATCCTCTTAGGAATAAGGAAGGAAAAAAAATGCACAGCCAAAGAGTTTCAGTTCCGTGTCTCACATATACCCGAATCACAGAAGGTGAGCTGAGAAGCGCTGTGGATACCCTGGGCACCAGGGCCGTCAGGCAGTCCTGTGTCTGGGAATTAACTGCTGCTCTTGATAAAGCCCTAAGCCACACAATAAGCATGTGAGCTGAATAACAATAAACTGTGTTTAGTAAATTATTTTTACTTCAGGTTCAGTATCACTTTTCCAAAAATGCTTAAGACCAGAAAGGTTTCAGATTTTGAATTATTTAGGGAATTGGGGGTATTTGCTATTTGAGGATTTAAATCCAAGTCTGAACAGAATATTCTGTTATAGTTCATATAAGTGTTACACACCAACCTGAAGATAATGTTATATACTAGTTCAAATAATTTTGTGCATGAGGCAATGCTTTATGGTTAGAAATTTCTAGTTGTGGATCTTATCTGTGCTCAAAATATATTTAGCCTTTTGGATTTTGGACTTTAGGATTCAGGATGCTCAAATTATAGCAACACAAAATGAGCTTTAGTTCCGATATTTACACTGCTTTATTTAACATATATAAGTCCTAATATGCCCAGACTCAAGTAGCATTATAAGACAAACGGGGAAAACTTACACACTTACCCGGTGTTTGGACATATTGAGGCATGGTTATTAGACTGTTTAGGTCTGCTAATGAGATTATAGCTGTGTGCTTTATTTTTATCACTGTTATGACAAAAAGTTAAGGAAGAATTTGTTTGGGGCTCAGAACTGAAGAGATACAGTCAACCATGGGGGAGGAGGAATCATGGCAGCAAAACCACAAAGCCGTGCAGATTCCAACTCATTGCTAATTAAGTCCAAGTCACCAATAGCATATCAGTGTCATATTAAGGAAAGAAATACAGCACTTCACCCTTGGAGTTGTTTCATCAAAAGCAGGTCCAGATTTGAATTCTGTACTTCATGATTCCCGTGTCTTCCATCTTAATCTGTGCCTACCTGAAGACTGTCTTGTGAATATGTCCCTGTGTCTACCCATGTGTGTCTGTCCATGTCCGTGTCCGTGTGTGTGTGTGTCTGTATGTGCCTTATGTGTCTGTATGTGTGAATGGTATCTGCCTGGGTGGTGTGACTGTCTGCCACTAACAAAGGGCCTCTTTCTGTCTTTAATGAGCAGCATAGCAATCTTTACATAGGGAAGGAATGGGATACTTTAGAGAAATCTTTAACAGTTTTAGGAAAGATTAAATCACTGACTGAAACTGACCCCAGCTAGCGCAAACAGCAAACATCATTATTTATCAACCAATATCCATTAATGGTTGTTTTCAACTTTTATGGTGGATTTTGGTAAGTTTCTTTCTACTTCCCTATTTGCTACTTTCAGCCAATGTACTGATACACTTATATTATTCTGGGGCCGTAAGAGTATGTAACTTTTAACTGTAACTATGCTTTAGATTAGGCTGTAGAAGTTGATAGTGTGAGAAACCCAAGGCAGGTGAGTCTGGTTGTTGCTTATTCTTTTGTTGCAAGGAGGCGCTGCTTGTTAATCCTGGCCACCCGGCTAGCTGAGCCCCGAAATAACCATACAGAAACTGTATTAATTAAATCACTGCTTGGCCCATTAGCTCTAGTTTCTTATTGGCTAATTCTTACATCTTAATTTAACCGATTTCTATTAATCTGTGCATTGCCACATGGCAGTGGCTTTCCAGGTAAAATTCCCAGCATCTGTCTCTGGCAGATCCATGGTGTATCTCTGACCCTGCTTTCTTCCTCCCAGAAGTCAGTTCTGTCTTCTCTGCCTACCTAAGTTCTGCCCTATCAGGCCAAGGCAGTTTCTTTATTCAGTAACCAATACAAGCAACACACAGAGGGGGCTCCCACATCATTCTTTGAAAGGCCATTTAAACAAAGAGGCTGCATGCACAGTAGGACATCAATCTTCAGTGACCTCATGGGGTGTTAACTCTGGCTGTGAGGTCCAGCAAAAGTTCCAATCTCTTACAAAGTAAGAGGTATTTTCAGAACGTGGCATTGTCACACAAGGCAGGTGATCCCTTCATGCCTTGGGTCGGGAAGCAGAGAGATGAATGCGAGTGTTTTGTTTGAATGCTGGTGCGCATCTTGCTACTTGGTTTGTTTTTTTTTTTCACTTTTCATTTATATGAGAGCCCAGGCTATGAGATGGCGTGGTCCATCTTCCCTCCTCAGCTGAAGCTCTCCGGAAACACCTTCATGAGCATTTGTAACATGACGGCTGGCTTGTTGGGGTTTCTGTCCTGCCCGGTACCCCACAGCCGACATATCCCAAAGAAAATCACACACAGGACTCCATAAGGTTATAAACTGATTAGCCCATTAGGTCAGGTTACTTATTAGTTCTTATAGCTTATATTAATCCATTATCATTATCTATGTTAGCCATATGGCTCGGTACGTTTATCAGTTGTCAGGTCACATGTTGCTTCTTCAGTGATCTGGGCAGGAATGACAGAGAGAGCTTCCTGTTTCCCAGAATATTCCTGTTCTCATCGCCCCACCTCTACTTCCTGTCTGGTTGGCCCACCTATACTTCCTGCCTGGCCAATCAGCATTTTATTAAAATACATCATTGACAGAATACAGATAATTTCCCACACCACTTCCCCTTCTTTTTTTTAAAAAAAAAAAAACAAAGGAAAATATCCATAGTCCATTTTTGGGGAATGTGGGCGTAGTATTGCAGGCTACTTCCTGCTGATTGGGGGCACTGATGATCTTATGGGGACCTAAAGAAAATTTAGAGTTATAATCAAGTTCTGACTGGGGTATCCTGTGAGTCTTGATCATCTCAGGCAGCAGTCTTGAACCTGTTTTGGATGAAGAACTCTGTCACCTGGGCCATCTGTTCCTATCAGAGATTTCTCAGGTGGTCTTCCTTTATCGAACCTGATTTTTCTTAACTCAGAGTGAATCCACAGCCTCTCATTTTCTGTGGAAACAAAAGCAGAATCTCTTCTCCAAAGTAATATACCTTTTGACTTCAATTTTGAAGCCAAGGTATTTTCAAAATACCTATCTTGGGTTAGTTCAGCGGTATTTATAAACAAAAGTCCTTTAGCAGCTGTTGCTCCTTCCTCAGCATTCAAACAATTCAAAGAGAGCATAATAGCATACAGTATCAAGATTCTCTGTTTATTTTCCATCTTTATGTGGCTTTAATTTATCCTCTATTTCTTATATTTTTACTTCTACTTTTAGAGACAGGTTCTCTGTATATCTTTGTCCTGGAATAACTATGTAAATCAGGTTGTCCTTGAACTCACAGAGATCCTTCTGTCTCTGCCTCGCCAGTGCTGAGATCAAAGGTGTATGCTGCCACACCTTGAACTCACAGAAATCTGTCTGTCTCTGCCTCCCAGGCATTGGGATTAAAGGTGTGTCATCACCACACCCTACTTCTCTCTTTCTTTCTTTTTTATTTTTAATGACTTTAACCTTTAACTTGCATATATTTTTAATACACTGTAAACCATTTAGAGGTTTTCTTCTTCTTTGAATATCTCTTTACTGTATATCTCTCTTTTTTTTCTGACTACATGAGTCTTTAATTTACTAAGCAATATGGAGAGCTGTAGCTTTGATGGCTAGATCCAGCCCATTCCTTAGCTTTCCAGCCTCATGGCAGAGGTACCACCAGAGCCATTTTTATTGTCACAACTCTACAGTGTTTCAGGGTCCCTGCCAGCAAGCAAGCTGCAGCATTCTGCTCACAGACCACATTCAGTCGGATTGCCTGACTGAAAGAGTCAGAGTTTGCCCTGGCAGGATGGCCCAGAAAGCTGGTATTTTAAAACAACGCAGCTTTTTTCCTGTTACAGCTGAAAACCTGAAAAGCATACATTCAGCTTTTCATCAACACCGTTTAAGTGTTTCGTGGCAGGACCTCTTAAAGGAGCTACAATATTTTGCAGCTAAAGCTGAGTCAGGAAGCCTCTCTTAGATGAGAGCATTTGCTTGCTTGCCTCTAGCAAGCAGAGCAGACCCCAGAAATTGCTGCTACCAACAAAACATGCTTTACTCTATTCTTTCCCAAGCTTTCTCAGGCTTTCTGTGGATGCAGTTATCCACGTGGGCACCATCTGTAACATGGCCGGCTTGTTGGGGTTTCTGTCCCGCCTGGTACCCCACAACCGACATATCCCAAAGAAAATCACACACAGGACTCCATAAGGTTATAAACTGATTGTCCCATTAGGTCAGGTTACTTATTAGTTCTTATAGCTTATATTAATCCATTATCATTATCTATGTTAGCCATATGGCTCGGTACGTTTATCAGTTGTCAGCTCACATGTTGCTTCTTTGGTGATCTGGGCAGGAATGACAGAAGAGCTTCCTGCTTCCCAGAATATTCCTGTTCTCATCGCCCTACCTCTACTTCCTGTCTGGTTGACCCACCTATACTTCTTGCCTGGTCAATCAGCGTTTTATTAAAGTACATGATTGACAGAATACAGATAATTTCCCGCACCAGGCATTCTCAGAGGTGTGCCTCTTAGATGACTCCAAATCTAGCAACATTGACAGTGAAGACTA